CAAACTCTAAGAAAGTGAATAGGGACACAATGGCTCACAAAGAAGCCATGCACAATTTAAGAATATTGTTGCACACATTATTTACTTCCCCTTTCTGTGGTTTGTGGTTGTACCTAGATGTTGACTTCCATTGAATGTGCAAGTGAATCATGTGGTTGCAGAAATAGTGGCCTCATGACCCTAACTTTTGGTTTCTTGACATATATTTTTACTCAAGTCTACAACTTGATTTAAGGATAAATTGCAAAAATTGCTTTGAATATTTTTATCAATCCAACCACTGCGGCCACTCAATTTTTTTTTCTGTAGCACATCAAAATCTTATTCCTAAAATTTAACCCTTAGAAGATAGCTGAAAAACCTTAAGTTGACAGTTTAAGAAGGTATTTTAATGTTATACAAAAAATGGGAGGATTTGGTAAATAATAATCAATCAATCAAAGGAACAACATGGTTGACCTTTGGTGAAGAAACTTTAGCCTTCAATGAAAGTATAAATATCCTTTTGACTTTTTTATCTACAGGGTTGTTTTTTTCCTTCTTCTTTGCTTCACCAAACTCATCTTTCACCTGATACATGGAGCAAAGCACAAGTCTTCAGCATGCTTTAATGAGTTTGAAGGTCTACCATGTCTTTTTAGCAAAGGCTCCTAAAGTAATGAATTCATCCAGGGTGGAGATCTTCTAATCCAGCCTTGTTCTCCTTTGGGCTAAAAATTAAAAGAAAACATTATCTAGTACAATCTATCAATAATAAGTTGTGTTGTAATCAACAAAGAGCATAAATTCTACTACATATTTGAAATGCTTATTTTCTTTCAAAAAATAAAAAACATACCTACATATATATATATATATATATATATATATATTAAATCCAAAGCTCGATTTTTTTTTTTTTATTGTATATATTCCAAGAAGAAATAACAATGGCATTCAATAGTTCATCACAAGGTTTCCAAGTAAGTAATCCATGTACACACCAAAAAAATTGCTACTTTTGTCATAGAGTAAAAAAAATTATGAACTGAAATTCATCATCATATATTTATTCATAAATTTCTTCCTCCTTATCAATGTTAATTAAGATTTGTTCATGTACTTATTTGAATTGATTGTCTACTTTGTTCTGGAGGCTTGGATTAAACTCAGCTGTAGTTCCTACTTTAGCATGAAAGGAAAGTTCATTATAAAATAAATAAAAATAATTCCAACATGTGTTCCCAGTTTAAAACATGTCATTTAAGACAGGGTGATAGAAAAAGGTCCCCTCCCCCCATTCTGTGATTGCTAATGGGATCAAATGCTGAGTAATTAGTGAGCACTACCAATGAGTAGTGAGTGAGTATTGAGTGAGTGAGTGAGTGTTTGTAGGGGAGTAAGTAGTGAGTGGTGAGGATGCAGCCAGGCAGGCAGGCAGGCAGGTAGGCAATGGGAATCGGGCACTCACTCACTCACGTAGGGGACATCCATCCATACATTCATTCACACACTCACTTGAGATCTCCAGGACCAAAAGGACAACGAGTGGTCAGAAAGGAAAAAGGCAGGGATAAAAAAGAAAAAGTGAGAGGGATAAAGAGGGCCCTGGAGGGCAGAGAAAGAGAAAATGAGTGCCCCGTCGTGTCCGTTTCTTTTCTTTTTCTTTCTTGATCCTTGTTCAATAGAATATTCTCCTTCTTTTTAACAGTCCTCTCGCCCTCTCCCCTTCTTGATCCTTGTTCTGCCAATCATTGGCTCTGCGTACCTGCCTGCCCTACCCACCCACCTCTCTATGGATGGATGAACACGAGCTCTACCCGCCCCTCGCCCATCCATCCATCTCCTCATGCATCCTGTGCCCCTCATACACACACCCCCTCCCATCATCTCCGTTTTAATATAAAAAGAAATGCATTTGTTGTGAATAACATGCATACATTTATATGCCAATGCAATTGAGATACATGATGCATTAAAAAGTTCAAGACCTGAACAGCATGTACACACAGATATATATATTTGTATATATATAATAATGATGAAGTTTGATTTCAGGATGGTAGATGTGGAGTTGGAGAGTCAACCATGGAAGAGGGTTTAGTTGGCAAGGAGTGCCTTTCATCTTCAACACTTCAGTTTCTTTAAACAAACAAAACTGTGCTCACTTGGGACATCAAAAACTGGGGAGTGCTACATACACACATGAGAGAGAGAGAGAGAGAGAGAGAGAGAGAGATAGATAGATAGATAGATAGATAGAGATAGAAATCCTCCTTCCCTTCTTCTCCCTATCCATGGTAAATGGACTTCTGTAGTCTTCTTACAAATTCTTTCTGTGATCCCTTCCTTTCTGGTAAGAGAAAGCAGGTGCAAAGAGGACACAAAAAGGGGAGGGAAAGATGGGGAAAGGGGCTCCCATGCACACACACTCCTTCACTCCCTTAGGAGTAAGAGTGAATGAGTAAAAATGAGAGCATGAGCTAGAGCATGAGAGGGGGTAGCAAAAGAATAAGTACCTTTTTTCCTCTTTCTTTCAACTCCTACAATGTGTTATTTTGTCCACCATGATTGGGCATGATTGTGGGGATGCAACTAGTCCTTCCATTGCAATCCTTCCTTCCTCCCTTTGTCCTCACTGGATGTGCACCCCATGGCGACATAGAAGCACCCATGAGAACAATGAATCAACCATTCAAACAAGCAAACAGAACCACACCAACATTATCAATAAATAAATAGATAAATAATAAGAAAGAGAAGAAGAAGGAGAAGAAGAGTGCACAGCAGGCAGCAGCTTTGCCATGGTCACTCCACTCAGTCATTCACTCACTCTCACACAATCTCTCTCTCTCTCTCTCTCTCTCTCTCTGTTCTCACACTTGCACTCACACTCACACTGACTGATTGACTGAGTGAGTGAGTGGGGTGATGGCAGCCGTAGCCAAAGCCAAACCAGTGATGGTCTTGGGAATGTGAGAGACAGGGCAAGTAGGCCAGGTGCTGAGGCAGCTTGTCTGTGGGGGTGCCAACTACTCACTCACTCTTTCTCCCCCCCTTCCAATCATGCCTCCCTTCAAAGAATACTGAGATACCATCTCATATACTATTTTAAGAAATTATACACACACACATACATGCATATATATATACATTGATAACTAATATGAGATAAACGGAGGGAGAGGGGACTGGGAGAAAAACAAAGGCAGCAGTTTATTGTCAGATGGGATGGCAGAGGGCAGCAAACAGCAGGTTTTGCTAATCCCAGTGTGAGCCAAAATATGGCTTCAGGGAGGGGAAAGTCCAACAACAACAACCACAACAAGCCATGTCAGCCATGCTCTGGAATGATTCAATAATTCCCATGTTCCCTTGTCACAGACACACCCCCCCCCCTTCCCACCTTCTAAATAAGTATGGCCCCTCTCCATGAAGGGGTTCATTGTGAGGGGGGAGGGGAGTGGGAGCCCAGCCTTCCTCACCTCATCATCTCCTTCTATTTGCAGGTGACCTGTTTTCATCTCCTTCACTCCCATGTTTGTTATCTCTCTCTCTCTCTATATATATAAGTATTTATCATATACAAAACAAGCTCCTTCCCCACCTGCAATTGCACAATTGTTCCATTTGAGACAAAAAAAACAAAAAAAACAAAAAAAAAACAAAAACACAAAAAACACCAAGAATGTTATTAGTGCCAAAATCTCCACTTGTAGTGGATCCCTCTCTGAATTCAAAATTTGGAAAGTTATAATTAGTAAAATGCATACACTCTTCTGGATGGAAACATTTCATGGAAGATCATTATAGCCAATTCAAGTGGTTGAAGGTTGTGAAGACGTAACATACAAGCTAATCTGTTTTACAAAGAATAGAGAGAATTAATCAAGAAGGGGCATCATGAAAGTAAAGTATGAAGACACTTATTGGACAGTGACTACTTAATTGATCTGCACGCTGGTCTTTGAGGGGTAGTTGAAACCACCTGTGATTGGCTCCATATCTTCAAACTGACTATCAAGCAACAATGAATGTCCACGTCATTAATGAACAAGGAATAAACTGCACTAGCTGTAAACTTAGCAAAAATATGTGTTCAAAATTCTCAACCTAATGACGAGTTTGTAATGCAAAGAATCCAACACAGCATTTCAATACAATATATGTATACCTGTGCAATAATCGAGGCAAAACAATAACCAAGACAAAACAGCAAATTCCCAGTTGATTATGGAAACCAAAAGATCTTCCGCAATTTCAACTAAGTTTCGATCCGTTCCATGAACAGATGTTTCGAAAAGTAGACATCATGAGGTCGCAAATGGTATCTACGGTTTTCTAAGAAGGGTGGAAGCCTTAGCTTGTTATTGTGACGTGGCACAATAATATCTTTCCATAACAATAGAGAAGGAAAAAGAAGAGTGAGAGAGAGAGAGGAAAAAAGAGAAATGTCAAATATTTTGCAGCCGAAATAGAGGACTGGGCGGTCAGTTGGTGTGAGCTCTCAAGTACACTTTCGGAAGCTCCAGATTCTAGAGGGACTTTTCGGCTGTGCGACGACAGAAAAGCATCGTTTAGAAACATGACAACTGCCCTGTTGGAGTCTGCGGACCTCCAACTCCGGCGGCAAGCAGGGTAACCTATTTTGGCCTTCTTATCACACAGATACTGCGCTGGCAGCTTTGTTTGGCGGTCCACGTCCACAAGGATATAGATACATGTGCAGCTGCTGCCACACCGCTGTGCTGGGTGACTTGTAGTCAATTCGGTGTTGAAGCGCATTCGAATAAAATAATTAGCTTGTAAAAGCTGCAAGAAGTGGGTACTAATTATGCGCAGCACACAAGTTACATCATTCCATGTTTAGTCTCACAGCGCAGAAACCTGAAAGTAATTCCAACGAACACAGACGACAGCCGATTTGACATAAAAATGCGCCTCTGAAAAAGAAAAGAAAAGAAAAGAAAAAAAAAAAAAAAAAAAAAAAAAAAGGGAAAAGAAACCAGCACAAGCCAGTGTGATAAGCTGCAACAGCTTACAGGTTAGCTTCTAACTGAAGCATAGTATACAGTGCATGCAATCAATCAATCGCATCCAGTCTGTGACGGGAAGTAAAGTTGGATAAGTTGCATGTGTATGGCTCCTTTCAACAAGGAAATTGTGGCCCATATTTTGGTGAAACTTCGTTTTCTTCGATTCATTCTACAACGACGTCTATGAGCTTGAATGTAGCCCTTCAGATACTTAACATTTCTATGAGTTATTTTATTTTACAACGTGTAATTTGAGCGTACCCAGTTACAGGGCTTGTCACTGTTGTGTACAATGGGGATCTTAAAAACAACATTAGAGAGAGAGGGAGAGAGAGAGAGAGAGAATGGTAATAAGGTGGGAGAGATGTAACGAACTTCCGCCAAACCGAACAATTCGCAAAGCTTTCATCATCTACTAGTGGTGGCGATAGAGGAAACCTCATTTTGAGCTGCTGCTGCTGCAATCGGGAAACCATGGGTCTGAAAAGTTGAATGACATTGCATAATAGCCGATGGACTCACAAATTCTGCAGCTGCCTAGTCAGGCAGAGGTGGGAGTTAGCCCCGTAACTAACGCCATGCTCGCCACATGGGGCTTCTGGTGAACGGTTATTGTGTCAAGAGGCCCATACGCCCGTTCAAAGTTGGTAAACTGGTTGATGCCTTCCATTCCGTTCTCCACCTGGTTATCAGTACTCGATTCTTCCCCTTGAAGGAAAGCCGCATGCTGCCCCTGCTCAACTTTGTTCCTGTACGCGCTCCTGGACGGATTGTTCATAATGTTGAAGAAGTTTAAGCTAGGGACAGCCATGTAGTTTATTGAGGAGGCTCCAGCCTCTAGGTGCTGCGCCATCTCCTCTTCAAGGCATTCAGGGGCAGGTAAATTCAAATCCAACACGCTCTCCTTCAGTGGCTTGTTTCGTTGTCCACTCTGGACTAGCTTTGCACTCGTCGCCTCACTGGAGCCAGGTGTCCCACTTCCAGTACCACCCCAGTGGCACCTCTTATGGCCTCCTAAAGCTTGCCCAGAGTTGAACACTCGGTGACAGATGGAGCACTCGTGTGCTTTGGTCTTGCGGGCAGCATTGAGCATCTCCTCATTGTCTGGCAGGCAGCAAGGCTTGTCTTCCTCACTGTTGTGGGACGTTTCTTGAAGCTCGTTAGGAAGCTGTTCCTCAGACTTTAGAACCTCCTCGTCCTCTGCATCCATGAATTCCAGGCTCTGCTCATGCGCTCCACCTTCATTCACACTGGTCCGTGCAAAGCACCCCTTTACCTTCTTGTGGCTGGCTCGGTGTCCCCCAAGAGCTTGATGCGACTTGAACTGTCTCTTGCACGTCGCACATTCATACTTAGACCTTGCACTGCTGCCTTGCTCCCCTGCAATGCACAAAATTAAGTAAATAAAGAGTTATGTCGATCTCATTCCATTTTTTGATATTATAAACATCTCTCTTCATTTAGGAATGAATGAAGCATCAGGAGATATTCACTGGAGAACCCTCACCAATGATGTAACATAGAGGGCTTGAAAAATCAGAAATTCGAAGTGATTACGCACCTGCGTCGAAATCATCGCCACCCTCTTCAGTATCCCCGCACAGACTTGCAGCTTCAACTTCAAGCTTGATTTTCTCTCCCCTTTTAGACAGCTCCTCTGTACTAGCTTCGACTCCAGACTCGGGTGTTCTTGACTTGCTTCGTGACTTGCTACCATGGGATTCAGGCGTGTATGTAGGCGTCAGTCTTCCCCTACTCCTATTGGCAGCTTGAAGCAGCATAAGAGCTTCAATCATATCATTAGACTCTGCCATATTTGCAGCGCTATCTCTGCAATTGGAGAGCTCCTTTTTAGCATCGTTGACGGCATCCAAAGAACGGTGTGTTTGACGAGATCTCTTCGACCGCTTCCCAGTCTGCCATCCCATGACCGTGTGCCGATCGCCATTCGACATGTAGGCAGCTTCAATGCTCTCCGTGTCACTCTCATTGTCTGAGGCTTTACCAGCCGCCGGCGCCCTCCGTGAATCCAAGGACCCAGACTTCTCATTGACGTCCTCCGGAAGAAAAACGGCAAGCGGAGCAGGTGACGGAGGAATATGGGGGGCAGGGGATGGTTTCTTCCGTCTGAAACTGGTAAGATTTCCGAATCCACCTGCATGCTGGCCACTACCCTGTCCCCCAGGATTGCTCTTTTCAGCAGGGGGCTGAATCCCTCGCCACTCGCGCTCCGGGTGACATCTCATGTGTCCGAATAAGGCTTTCCATGAAGAGAACTCCTTTCCACACTCTGTGCAGGGCTTTGGGAATTCCTCTGATGTAGAGCTCGTCTTCTTCGTTGGTGCTAACGCTTGCACCGGCGCTGCCACCCCTGGTTCTACGGTGTATTCCTGGTCCATAAGCTTTCTGCTTCGTTTTGGATTACGCCTCAATGTGTACTGCGGGTGATATTTCTTGTGCAAATTCAGGCTTTTTGCACTCTCAAAGTCTTCGTTACAAATCCCACATCTGTACCCTGTGCCATCTACCTCGTCTTCGTCAACTTCTCTGTCTCTATTGCCATCACCATTCAGCTCCTCCGAGCTAGAAGACTGTCTCAATTCCTCTGCATCATCGGCTCTCTTTCTTGTTCCCCTCAAGCCCAGATTCACCTTCGAATCTGAAGTAGCTCCAGAGTGGATATCTTGATTAGGAGAACCTTTCACTGATCTCTGAGAACTAAGTGAACTAGACCGCGTCTTTGCTGAGTTCACCCTCCGTAGACTGAGACGCGGTGTGTCACTTCTGCGCGGACATGAGAGTGGACGATCTAAAGAAATCTCGTGTTTTGGAGATTCCGCATCCTGGATAGTAGTTTTCCCATTGCCCCTAGAACTGCTGACCTCAGCCTTGTGACAATAATCTTCAGTGCCAGACTCTCTTTCGATCAGGTCAACAAACTCTGCTTTAACTACTTCGATGCTCTCAAGCTCTACACTTGCTTTCGCTGCTTCACGTGGCTCAATTTCCATACCTGGACAAGCATCAGCTCCTCTCGGTGAGAAAACACGTACAATTTCAAGCCTCTCTTATTGACCACAAAACCCATCCTCGATTGCCCCTACAGTTAGGAAAATGAACAACCACCCAAAAGTGCAGGGACGAGAGAGAAGAACAATGCATCTTTGCTCAAGCTTAAGAATCGGAGCTAGCATCGCGATTGAAGGAGTCAGTTGAAAATACGTACTAAGAGAGAAAGAGGAACGAGGCTTAGTGGAGTTAATCGTGCAAAAACTGGAGGAGAGAATAGCTTGATACTAACAGAGGAATGTGGCTCAATCCGAACTAATCTTCATTAAAAGTAACGATATTCTCAGGAGGAAGGCAAACAGGCAGGGAGCTGGACGTTACACACATACTGATGCTGTAAGAGCTAAATCTTGTTGCACAAGATCAGCAGTGAGAAAGGCTGAGCGAGCAGGTAGGATCGCTGACACCAATATGAAGAGCGCCGAGTTATGGATACGGAATTCGTCAGTTTAAGCAGCTCTCTTTCTCTCTCTCTCTCTCTCTCTGCTTAAATATATATATATATATATATTTGTATATGTATATATAGGTTCAGCTGGGCCAACAACTAAATTTCAGAGGAAGAAAACGACCCTACCCTCCACTTCCCTGACTCAGATTACTTCAAAGTGAAAGTGCGAACCCAAGATGAAATTCCTTCACTGCCATCTAATGTCGCGCATAGAACTCGATTTGTGACGGACGAAGAGAAGAGGACGTGGAGGAGAGCTGTAAGTAAAGCTGAGCTTCTGAGCTACGGACATCCGCGACTACCTATCACGCTAACGTGAAACGTGAACCGATGATCCGACTAAGCTGACCCAAACAATCTCACAGCTCGGGGTCCCCAAGCTTACGCTGAACACGAAGAAGCTGAAGAAGCTGGGGTGAGAAGGGTAAAACGTGAAAAAACCAAAAGTCGTTAACAGCGTGACCTCCGAGAAGCACCTATGACGAGGAAAGGCGACCAATTACAGTTTCACAAAATACACGAAAAAAGTGTGCAAAATAAATGATAGACGACCAATCCACTCCAACGCAAACCGAGAAAACACGTCAATTGGCGGACAGCCCGCCGCATCTAAAGCGGAGCACTGCACTTGATTCATCTTCACACCGCCTCGACAGAGCAAGGAGGAAAAGAAAGTGAGAGAAGATATGCAGAGGCCCTTCTCTTAAGAGCGACGGCGCTTAAGCTACCTACGATGCGATCGAACTCCAGTTTCAAAAAATATCCATCACTGGTAGCCTTGGAGTTGCCGAAAATTCCTCTCTCATAGAAAGAAAAGAGAGGATGCTGAAAAGGAGAGGATACTGTTAGCTCACCTTCAGCGGAAACTCCATAATTCTCCTCCTCCATCTTGCTCACACCACTAGGGCCGCTCTTACACGCATTGTCGGCGCCTAAGTTAGCCCCTGGCTCCTGTCCAAGATCCATCTCTCGCTCCTGATCCGCGCCTCCACTCGCCTGATCCTTGGCCCTGTCCACCCAATCTAGCTGCCTGTCTGCCTTCTCCAGAGCCTCCTTACCACCACTACTCTCCACACCGTCTGTCAAGGTCATGGCGAGCTCTTAACACTTCACTTTTCTACTTATAGCTGAACCTCCACTTCTGCAACAAGAACAACGACGTCCCCGTGTTCAACGCTACTCGTACCTCACCACTCTCTGCACTCGCATCACTCCAAAGATCACTTCCCCTACACACGTAGCACTCATCGCCGATTCTGAAGCTCGAGCTCAATAATCCAGGCAGGAATAAGCCCGCTCGAGATGCTCGCCGGAGCATGGTCTGCGGTGAAGACACTATTTGGGCAGGATGGTTGGAGTGCAGTTTTGATGAATGAGGAAAAGACGAAGAACAAGTGTTGTTGAAACAGGGGCATGTTCCGGTGGCCGGGAATTGTGGCGCTCTTTCTGCAAACCGGTGGGTCCCAAGTCCCGCCTCGCAGCCTCGTCGTCCCTGTGGTACCAAGCACACACACCACAATCGGAACCGTCAGTCTCTTGAGTCTCTTCTTCTTCTTCTTCTTCTTCTTCTTCTTCTGTCCCTAATTTACTCTTGAGTCTCTTCTTCTTCTTTACTCGTCCATCCTTCCCAGAAAATCACCACCACTAATCCGATGGATCGATCGACACCTACTCGTCGCCGTGATGTGCCTACAACGATTCCCATCCTGTGCTCGCAAGGAAATCGGGCGCCTATTTGTCGGTACCGCTAGTCGGCTGCCAAACGAATTCGCGGCACAGAGCTGTGGTATGCAGTGTCGCAGCTCAATTCAGTCGTTACGGCGGTCGGGTTTGTGTTTCCTCACGTTCCCACAACGAAACACACACGAATACAAGCAACCTTGCCAGCACGGTAACAGTTACTACATACTCTGTAAACTGCTCCAGCACTAAGCGCGATTGTAGTTTATGTGACGAGACGTCGGTATCCTTCTTGGCCTCCTTTTCCTAGTTCTCGCCTCCTCTCACTCTGGTCTTGATCGTTGTGGCCACGGTGTATCACAGAAAGGGATAACTCTGCGATGTGAGCTCAATTCCCAGTAGATTTCCTAAAGAATTAGCGCCGTCAAAGCTAGAAATCTGGATTAATTCTCGTACGCTATCTCATGGAGCCTTGAGAAGAAGCTGAAATTGCTACGTACAAGTGCTAAATTGTCCCAACATCCAGTAGCTGCGCCGGCTCGGCTGTTCTTGTGGAAATTGTGACCCTAACCAACCACCCAGGGCCAGAGGCTGTTGGAGTTGTTGCTGACCTCGACTTCGCTCGTCGTGAACAACCACACGTATCAATTCGATTACGGAATCCTGCTCGGATCCCGCGTAACATTAATGCTAACTCCACGTCTTAGCGATGGTAATCTTAACGAACCCAATCGTCTGAATCCAACACCACGTTCTCGTCCGAATTCTCGCGATCACTCACTCATGGAGGTAACAGCGGAGGCACCATGGAATCATGAAACCCCAATCTCTCCATATCACTCCTCCGCTACTTCCCGCAACTGAGCTCAAAGACTCGATTCCCACCCCAAACGAAACACTAGGCCATCTCCGGAGCAGCCCACCCGATAACATACACGCCCATCAGCCTCTCCAGTCTGGCAATCGAGAGTGCTAATCAATGACCATCCCCACACACCAACAATCGCAATTGAGGCAGACTGTAGTCAAGTCATAAGCAGCCATGAATCATCCTCACCCCCAATTACGCCAAACACAAGGTCGGCATCCATCATGACGCGTAGACCTCGACCAAAGCAGAACAAGACATGTTAGCAATCAGAGCCCCGATTCCCACGCTATCATCCCATCAACCCAAACCGCACACCACGCGTGGCGGAGAAGTGCCCATCCATGAAATCGGCATCCACGACCCTCAATGGAAGCTGGAAGTAGCAATCGATCACGACGTTGCGAACTCGGAATCACTGAAACGGTGACGAGAAAAGGACCTGGGAAAGGGTCACGAGCTGGCGCAACTGGCAGAGAGCGGCACCGCGCAACCATCCGCAGCAGCAGCAGCTGTGCTGCAGGGTGCCATGCTGGAGATGGGGAGTGCGAGGGATCTCGCGGGGCAGCGAAGGGACGACACAGAGCGGGGAAGGGAAGAGAGGGGATAGGAGTGGGGGGAGGGAGGGCGGGAGCGAGAGCAGGGGGCTCTCACACACTCTCTCTCTACACAACTGACAGTAACTGCAGCAGCTCTTGGGGCTTTCACACGGGCACAGTAACCCCCCCTTTCCCTTCCCTCTCTCTTTCTCTTTCTCTCCCTTTCTCTCGCCTCATCTCTCGTCCCTACCTCCCTTCAGAGTGAGAGAGAGCCCTGCTCTGCTCTAGTCTAGTCTGATCACTCTTTCTCTCTCCCCCCAAGTCTGGCTGGCGAGGTCGCTGGTCTTGTTCGTCGTGTCCAGTCCAGTCTCTCCAGTAACCCCCACCCCCCTCCTCCGCGGGTCGGGTTGGGTGTCACCCGTCGCTCGCAGCTCCTGGTTGTTGGTTTGAAACTAACTCTGAGGACTGTCGCCCCCCGTCCGCTCTTCTCCTGGGGCCCTAACGGAGGATTCATCCATACATGGATGTATGGATTTATGTTTTTGGATGGATGGATGCTATATGTTTTGAATGGATGGATGGTTGCATGTGTTTGGATGGATGGATGTCTAACACCCACCCATACATCCATACATCCATCCATACATCCATCCATCCCTGGTCGTGGTCGTCCCGTTCGTTGCATGGGCTGGATCCATCATATCCAGTGCGCTAGCGACCATGCTCTTCTTCTTCGAGAGTGAGGACTCCTTATTAAAGTAGTCAGACAGACTTCAGGAGTTTTCCTAATCAAAAAGATCATATTACGTTGCAGTATTTTCAGGATTCACTCACTCGCTCACCACTTCTAGTTCATTCTGTTTTGTCACAACACACATTTCTAGAATTGAGGAACCTCCAACTTCACGCACACGATTGTTGGCACATGTTTCTCAAACTTGTGTCACACCTCGAAAATGCTTTCAACAACATTACAACATTACAGCATTCTGAATCAACAAATTTTAGTTTATTTAAAAAATAAATAAAATCAAATTCTTCGAAAACACCATTTAATCAGTAATAATCAGACTTGTACTTGTACGTGCGATTCTTGAAAGAATAATTATCAAGATCTTACTGAACACTAATTCTGTAGTAGAATATCACCAATGATGTAGAAGTTTGTTTCAAAAGTATTCCAGTGTATCAAATCATAACTAACTTATGAAGTTAATATACTTTTTTTGAGAAAGAAATTATGTTAGGAACAGTGAGTGATTTGAATAATTACTTATAAAAATTATCATGTGTGACATTTAATACGGTGAATCTATAATTGACGAAATTAGTAATAGTAATTTAGAATAGATTCCTGCAATCGGACAATGCATTAAAATTAAGTATATATACTTATTACAGATACTAATGTAAAATTATTATTTTAATGAAATTATAATGACATATAATTTAATTTTTACATGTTTAATAGACACATAATTCTTTTGAAGATTCTTTTGCAAAATTTGACAACTTTTTAAGAAAGTATAACTACACAAAATATTAGAAGAGACACTTTAACTTATTTATAAATAATTAAAAATTAAAGTTATATAATAAAATTCATAAATATCTATATATATATAGTATGTAAATTTACAAAAATAATCTAGATATAATATGTTTGAGATAGCAAGAATAAAAGATTGGCATACTTTCCTTATTGACTACATTGAATTAGATATTATGATGCAATGGTGGTTTAAACTTTTTAAACATCTTCAAACATTTGTTTTTATTTTTTAAAGTTTTGAACTCAAAATCTTATTAAGTTTTATTAGTCATTGAACTTTTTTTAATTTTTTTTTTATATTTGTTTGTTTGTTTCTTTTGCAATTCTATAACAGAATGTATGTTTCAAAACCTTCTAGATATATATATATATATATATATATATATATATATTTAAAAACTTTATTAGTTTTTTAAGAGACTCTCAAGTCATCAATATCTTTCTAAAACAAATTAAGTTATTTATAAATTTCTATGAATAATTTAGTAATATTTTGAAATAACATATAATTTTAAAAATTCTACAACTCTCTTTTATGTTATACAATACAATTATCCCTTTTATAATTAACCTCTCAGAATGAATATATATATATATATATATATATATATATATATTGTATATTAATATTAGAAGAAAAAATTGGAACTATTAAATGGTTTGATCATAATCTAAATTCAACTTTAACAAAGTTGACTATTAGAAGGGATGACTATAATAGAAAATTTTTAAAATATTATGTGATGATATATATATATATATATATATATATATATCTTTGTAGAAATAAGATAAGAAATGCTTGAGTTTATAATATAAGAGTTATTTTGTTTTCTAACGTGTTCAATATTTTATTTTTAAACCAAATAATAATTTATATGTTCTTTTAATTTAAGAAAATTAGATAAGGAGATAAGTGTTTGATTTTTTTTTTTAATTTGTAAAAATCATGTAAATTATTACACTTTTAGATGAAATTAGTGCATCATTAAAAACTAATAAAAATCTGCAATTGAATTTATATTGGAATTCTCATTGGTATTTTTCTAATTAGCATCTATTTTTTTAATTAGTTTTTGGAGTTATCAATGATAAATTACAATGATTTTCTAATAAAAAAATATATAAAGCTACCAACTCTACCTAGTATGTAGTAGAATTCTACTTTAGTCAAAACTATTAGAGATATTTTGAATATACAAAGATAAAATTTAAAATTTAATATTTACAAAATTAAATAATAAAAAATTAAATTTTGAATATTTATTTTTTTAATAAAAAATAAAAATACGTTTATTTATATAAAAATTTATTAAATAATTACAATTTTCTAATAAATATAATTGTATTTATTATTCTAAAACTTTGATAATATGTATATATATATATATATATATATATATATATGTGTGTGTGTGTGTGTGTGTGTGTGTATTTACATACATACATGAAAGAATGAATGCATCCACAACAAATAAATGAGCTTTGTTTTTTATTAACATGATCTACTGTATTTAATAAAAATAAAATCTAAAAAAAAATAAAGTTGAAAATTCAAAATTATTTAGTTATCATATCTTATCAAAAATTATACTGCCTAATACGTAATGGACTATACACCATGGCTCCACCAATTGTTTGCAAATTACTTCACTGACTTAATAGTCTTACCACTTTTTATTCTTATTAAACAATACACAGAAAATTTGAATAGTAGGTGTTACAAAATTTAGAATGTTGTGGTTTGTATGTAAAATCTCTTTTTTCTTATCTCAACATGAGTTCTGGATCTCATTCCTTTCTTTTTAACCTCAATGCAAGTCCCAATCCCTTCTTCTTTTTTCTTATCCCAAAGTGGAACTCAAATCTCCTCCCCTTCTTCTTTGCCCCAACACGGATTCTAGTTCCTTCTTCTCCTTCTTTCTTGTCTCGATGCGAGTTCCGGTCTCTTATTAAAGCATAGAAAGCAAACTCCACACAAGCAAGTTAGGACCAGCAAGGTTGCACTTCACAAATAGAATGTGGTATGAGATAATTCTTCCCATGCCAACCCTTTTCTTATATACTAGTACCAAGGTACCATGTGTTACAACCCATATGGGATATCTCTTAGGACCAGCCCTCTCCTTGTATTCTAAGGCACTATAGACCAGCAACTAATCTTGTAGGATATCCCTCATTAATCATATACTCTATTGACCATTAGCAACAACTAAATGAGTTCTTTCCTTCAACACTCCTACTTTGCTATTGGTCAATTAGCTATCAATCCTAATGCCTTACTCAATATGTTGTGTCTCTCTTTCACCAAGGCTTTTGTTAGCAAATCAGCCAACATGTCTTTGGTTTCACAATACATCATATCAATAACTCCCATCTCTATCTTCTCTCTTATAAAGTGGTGTTGAATATCAATGTGCTTGGTTCTTGCATGATGCTTTGGATTCTTTGCAAAAGCCAAACATCCTTGATTGTCACATCTTAATGGAGTGGCTTCCAATTGCACAAGTCCAATGTCTTCCAACAACAACCTCAACCAAATTGCCTCCATTGCTCCATGACTTGCTGCCATATACTCCGCCTCCATTGTGGACCTTGCAATGGTTGGTTGTCTCTTACAATTCCAAGATATGGCTCCCATTCCAACAAAGAATACATAGCCCGTTGTTGATCTTCTATCATTTGTATCTCCAGCCCAATCCGCATCACAATATCCATGTAATGCAATGTTATTTCCTCCAAGACATAGTTTATGGTTCAAAGAGCCTTTCAAGTACCTCATGATTCTTTTGATGGTTGCCCAATGCATAGGACCTGGTTTTGCCATGTGTTGACTTACAACACTTACTGCAAATGCAAGATCCATCCTTGTACCCACCATTGCATACATGAGTGAGCCTACTGCTGCCTTGTATGGTATGCCTTGCATTTGATGCTCAACTTCAGCATATTCCTCATCCGTGAGCTTCATCAACTTCAAGTTGGCTTCCAAAGGAGTTCCAATGGGCTTGCAATCTTGCATATTGAATCGTTTCAATACTTCTTCAATGTACTTGCTTTGACTCAATGTGATGGTCTTTGATACTCTATTCCTTGTAAATTCCACACCCAAACAATAATGAAGCTCTCCCAAATCACTCATTTCAAACTCTTTCTCCAATTTCTTCTTCAACCAATCTAATTTTACCATGGTGTTGCTTAAGATGATTAAATCATCTACATAGAGGATCACAACCAGCAAGAAGTCCTTGGCTTGCAACACATACAAAGAATGGTCAGCTTCACTTCTTATAAAACCTTCCTTCACAAAGAATGAGTCAATACGTTGATACCATGCTCTTGGTGATTGCTTGAGTCCATACAATGACTTCTTCAACTTGCATACAAGGTTGGATTTGTCTTGATCAATAAATCCTTGAGGTTGCTCCATGTAGATGTCTTCTTCCAATTCTCCATTCAAGAAGGCTGTCTTGACGTCCATTTGATGCA